CCTGCATACCTGACCACTTGGTAATCCAAAGCAAAGTTGAGGTTTTCATTGGTATTTACTTCTACCAGATGATTTTGTCTCCTTATTTAGAGGAATTCTGAAATCAAAATTCCTCAACCAGATTGCTAGATAATGCTGCATTTTGTGCTAGTATAGAAATACCAACATGTTATCAATGAATGTGATGTATATAATCATTCACTCTATAGGATTGAGAAAATATCTGAGAGTGTCTGATGATAATTACTTAACAAATTAAATTCCATTATTTGGGGTACTTAAACAAAATACTTTTCTTTTGAGGACTATTGTGTACCTGTAAATGCATTTCAGTCTACAAATTTTATCTTAAGATATGACCACTCTTGTTATATATTTATAGCATACAATGTTACAGCTGATCAAGGAGGCAGGCTGCTATAATGGAATCACACCAAGGGATGATTTTCCTGTAACTGAAGTACTGAACCAGGTGTGCCCATCCACATGGCGGAGCGCCTGCAAGACTGCTGTACAGCTGCTGTTTGGCCAAGCTGGACTGGTGAGTGAATATGTGTGATGGATGGGGGAGAGAGAGAAAGGAGACAGACGATGTTTTAAGCATGTGAGGATGGGGTGCAGGCATGTGTGAAAATACTGAGTAACTTTAACAGTTCTTGGGTGCTACAGAGTTTAGACCAGGTAGAAAGGTAAGGAAAGAGTAGCATTAAAAAGTCTTTTTTTTTTTTTTTTTTTTTTTTTTTTTTTTTTTGTAGATTTTTAATATGTATTGGTAGGGAACCTAGTTGTAAAATGATGTTGCAAGCTTTCCTCATTTTAAGGAAACCATTTCACTGGAAATGATTTGATAGGGTCCTTTGACTTGACCTGACTACTCTGGAGCTTCAATGGATGTCTTTCTGTTGCTCAAGCAGGCCAAGCTTCTACTTGTCTGAGGCCTTTGCATTTGATGCTCCTCTTACCTAAGAGAATACTCCTCTCTGATTATCATGTGACTCACTTCTTCTCAGTCTTCCTAATGTCAGCTCAGATATCACCTCTCAGAGACCTCAGTGGTATAAGTAATTCTCCATCCAGTTACTTTGTATCCCTGCTCTCTCCTCCTTAGCAATCGAGTAAGTGTGAACTCAGAAATAAGCTTAGTCTTTTTCACCATTGGAGAGAATAACTTTTGCTAAAGTTGGATGGGATCAATATCTGAAGTCACCATTTAGCTTTTTATTTGACCCTGCTGACCCACATAACCTTATGTGTTTGTACTTTCTTGAATTAAATAACTACTTTTTGAAAATATATAGCATTTCAGTTGGGCTAAAAGAAGCTAATTAGAACTAAGAAAAGGAAAGAACTGTTTTTTAGTCTAATCCCTACTTTATGAAAGTAGCTGCTGGGCAGGTGCTGTCCCTTTGTTTCATGTGGGTGAAGGCTCCAGTAGCTGAGCTCAGGATGGTGCTGCCTTGTAGAGGCCAGATGAAGGCCCATCCACATTGGGGAGGTATACATGCTCCTCAGTATAGGAACCCTATAAGAAGCATAGACTGGAGACCCCCTGCTGAAGTATAGAATAGCTCACTCTCTCTGGGAGATTGAGCTGAAGCTAGGAGAACCATGGCAATCAGTTTTCCATAAAGGAATGTGTAGAAAAAGACAAGTATGTTGGAGGCTTAAAAAAAAGTCCCATTATTATTCAAAGATCAGAAACTTAGTCCTAGATCCATACCCCTTGATCTCAGGGCACCTTTGTACGGGCTAACAAAGAACCTTTAGATTATGGTTCTGGGGCTGGGAGGAGAGAGGAAACACCTGCCTGGCCCAACAGTGGGTATTACTTGGACAGGAAGTCTTTCCACAGGACATGAGACCAGCTGTGGGAACTGTTTACAGCAGTGGAAATGAGCTCCATCACAAGCTGTGTTTGGAATCAAGATAAACAGCTCTGCATGGCTTTACCCTTCTGATGTCACAGACTTGGGTTTCAAGTGGTTTATGATTCTCTTCTTAAAGTTATTAGTTATTTGAAAATTCATTACTTTATCAAACTCTAAATTATGTAGGATACTATATCATTCTATAATATTAAAGACTGTCCTCCAAATAAGAGGAAACCATTGAAGGAAGGGCTGGTTCTTTATCTTTCCTGAAGTAGTTGTGTTTTTATTGATGGTTGAGACTAAAATGATCTTTAAGAAAAGCTTCATCCACTTCTGGCTTGTTTTCGGTCATTACAGATGGGCTTTTCTGAAGCATTGGTTTGATTTTTTGTGGCATTTTTACTCCTTTCAAGTGCATAAATTTTTTAAATACTGAGATAAAGGAAACAAAGCAGTAACTAACTAACATTTATAGTTTGGAAGAAGTGCCACAAGTGCTTGCAAAATTCAGCACATCCTACACCTAGAAATTGGTTTCTGTTTATTGAAATACTAGAGGCCTGATGCACATTGATGCACTCAGGGGGTCCTTTGGCTCGGCCTGTGCCCTGTTGCAGTCTGGAAGCCCTCTGGGGATGTCCCACTGCTTGCTTAGCACTGCAGTGGAGAGGCTCCAGGCACTGCCACTGCACTCACCAGCCCTGAGCCTGGCTTCTGGCTGAGGGGTGCTCCCACTGTGGAGCATTTGCCCTCTGGTGGTCAGTGTGCATCATAGCAACCAGTCTGACTGACATCCCGGAGGAGTCCTGGATTGCAAGATGGTGCAAGCCAGGCTGAGGGACCCCACTAGTGTATGATCAGGGCTGAGGAGGGACATGAGAAGTGGGAGGTTGGCCAGCAGGGGAGGGGTTGCGGGAGGGCTCCAGGGGGTGTCCAGCCTGTTCCACTCAGTCTTGATTGGCCAGACTCCAGCAGCAAGCTAACCTACTGGTCGGAGCATCTGCCTCCTGGTGGTCAGTGCACATCATAGTGAGCAGTTGAGTGGCTTTAGCATATCATTAGCATAGCACACTTTGATTGGTTGAACAGCTGCCTGGATGACTGGACACTTAGCATATTAGGCTTTTATTATATAGGATTACTGTATCCAGTCATCTTTATTACCTACCTGACTGGCCTCTGCATACCTGCTTTGCTAGGGGAATAGTTCTTGCCATAGTCACTTAGCATTGATAGGTTCATGTATGGGATTTGTTTGTGAACATTTTTCTCTCTGAATGCTGATCATTATATTTATTTCTCTCTTAGGTGGTAGTTGACACAGCACAGATAGAAAATAAGGAAGCCTATGCCCCCCAAATCAGTTTAGAAGGCTCAAGAATCGTGGTTCAAGTCCCATCCACATGGTAATGTTATATTAACATAAGCCTAAGCTGTGATAGAAGTTTTCACTTATTTGACAATATTGCTGTCATGGACAAATTCTCTGCTGGCTGATAGGACACATCTTCTGTTTATGCAGGTTTATGGCAGTGGTGCTGTATTACTGCCATGTCATGATTATCAGTCCAAGATGAGGAAGCCAAGGTGCCTGAAGCCAACCAAGTCTCATTGACCAAAAATATAACTAAAATGTTATATACTCCTGAATCATAATGAGCAATATTATTTTCTTTGTCCACTGCTTTTAGACAGAATATATCATTTTCTCCAAGTCACCAGTGTTTCTCTAAAGCTGAGTCCAGAACATAGAATTCCTCCTCCACCTTTGTCTATTCCAGCAACTCTGATGATCTCAAGTTCATGTCATTACATACCCAGTGTCATTGCCTATCTGGGGACAGACTGAACAATTTTTATTTTGACTCCTCTACAAATCAGTAAGAAAATGGGCAAGATAAAGGAACAGGTAAATCAGAAGACATATAGTTAACAAATACATAGAGAAACTGTAACCTCCCCTAATAAAGGCAAAGTAAAGAAACACTAAGTGCTATTTTGCCTACCATGCTCGATTTGTTTTAGAATAATATATTATTTTAGAATACTGTATTTGGGCCAGACTATATAAAAACAGACACAGAAGTTAGTTATTGAATAAATGACAGCCTTCCTAGAGAGTAGTTTTAATATATCAGAGACCTAAAATAAGAGATACGACCTCAGCAATTCCACATTTCAACCTGTAGGGGTTTTTCCCAGTGATGTCTGTACAAATTCAACTATTGTATAAGGACCAGAGTCATAGTTTTATCAGTAAACAGCAAAAATTAAACATATATTGGGAGAATTTTGCTATTAAAGTTAAAATCTGAGTTAATATTTAACTGTATAGAAAATATTTAAAGTATGTAGATAGGAGTAGATATAGTAAGGAGCAGTGGCAATGTCGGTGCTTGTATGGACTAAAGTGAGAGATGAGAAATGCAAATTATATTTAAACCATTTTTCCTTGAAATGTGAGGGTCTAGCAGTAGATTCTTCCCAAAGTTTTAGAACTAGTTGATATATCAAGTAGGGGTTGACAGTACATTTCATGTCCCCAAATCTCCCATCTATGAGTTCTCCTCCCCAACCAAAATTTATAATTTGATTATTCAGATGGTATACTGTTTTCTGAAATGAATGGTAATTTATATGCATATTTTTATTCCTATCATACAATACATTTAAAGCTTATTTTTCTGTAAGATTTTTGTGTTCCCAATTTCTTAATTTGTTTTCCAGTGCAAGTTCTTCTTGAAATACTCAGTTTAACCTGGGTAAATTGGTTAGAGTGTCGTCCCATACACCAAGGTTGCAAGCTCTATCTCCAGTTCAGGGCACATACAAGAATCAACCAATGAATGCATAAATAAGTGAAACAACTGATTGATATCTCTCTCTCCCTCGCTCTTCCTCTCTTTCTAAAATAAATCAATTGATAATTTTAATTCTCTTTAAAAAAAGAAAAAAGAAACAGTCTGTTTAACTTGGATTCCCATTTTGAAAAAAAGTTTGAATTTTTAAATAACTTGGCTATTATAAACAGCTAGTACTGAAATGGGTAGCACTCCAGTTTACTTTCAAAACTGTATGATTGATTTCCTTTGTAATCATTGAACTTCCATGGGTTATGTGGCCTTGGAGTGGTTCCCTCTGCTGGTTGCTTTTGGTAAAAATACAAAGTTTCTTTCTTGTTTCTTTCAAGTTATAAAATTATGTGCTTGTTGAGACAGACGGACTCAAATAGAAATGATGACTGCACCTTCGAGAAAATGAAATTGTTAGCAAAGCCAGTCAAGAATTTATTATATTCCTTGCTGCCAGATTTTTTTCCCAAAGTAATACTTTACTTAAATTTTTAAACTATCATACTTGAGCTATCCATTTTTCTTTAAACAAATACTAAATACCTAACGTGTGACAGACACTGCCTGGGCCCTGGGAATTTAATCATGAGTAAGAAAGATAGGGTCCCTCCCCTACCTGAGCTGACTTTGTAATGGGGACAAGGAAGGAAGAACTAATAAGCACAAGAGTTAAGTTCAGACTGGGAGTGTATGAAGGGAATAAGAGCAGAATGATGTCATATGACAGAGAATAACTAGGGTAGAGATGGGTAAGGGAGGCTATTTTGGATGAGGTCAGTTATGAAGGGCCTCTTTGAGGATGTGACATTTAAGAGGAGCTGGCCATGTGGAGAATAGATGAGGAAAACATTCCAAGCAGAAGGAACACAAAGGCCTGGGAGTCACCCAGCATGGCTGGGAGATATGGTAGGTGATGATTAAGGAGTGGGGGGAGAGGAGGGTTTATAGACTCCAGGACTTGCAGGGTCCTTAAGAGACTTGGATATTTAAGAATGGGTAAAGGGTCTTAAGCAAGTCTAAGTGATGTGTGAAAAGAATAGCTTTAGTCTCTTAAAGGGGACTGTTCTCAAGACGGATAAGTAAAATAAAAATGCCAATTTGTTGATTTTCAGAAATAGAAATTATTACTATGATCTGTAGTGCTCCTTTCTGCATGACCAGCGTATATGACCAGCCAGATGGCTTGGGAGCATAGAGCACGTGTGTCCTAACAACGAGCAACTCCAGGCTGAGGGGATTCAGTGCACAAACCTGGGCCGGGTCCACTGGCTGAGTTCTCCAGGAGTCGAGAGGCTGGTGCGACACTGTTAGCGCTTGCCTTGTTGCCTTTCTAGTGTTCCTGAAACTGGCCAGCTCACACATTTCTTCTCGTGCAGTCATTTGGAGAGTTAGCTGCTGCCTCTCAGGGTGGCTGTGCCAATGTTTCTCTCCCCATTTAACTCCCAAGTGCCCAGGAGCCGACAGACAACCTCTTTCTGGTTCTCCCTCTCAGAAAGGCCTCTTGGTGGAGATGCTCTGCATGGGCAGTGGGGGCTTGCATGGTGGGAAGTAGCTCTCACAGGAAAGCAGTTGGGAAAAGGCAGCAGCAAGAGCAAAGGTCCGGAGATGTGGGCAATCCCACCATATTCAGGGAGTGACAGAAGGCCTTGTAATTAGGACAGGGTGAGTGGAGGTGATGGTGGAGAGGTGTGAGCAGAGAGCTTGGAGGGCTGGGCTGAGGGATTTAGACTGCACTTCAGTATGACAGGCTGCCAGTCAAGGGCTTCAAATGGAAGGGATGTGTTCTGCTTTGTGGTGTCGGAGGCTCACTCCAGCTGCTGTGTGGAGGGTGGGCCTTGGAGGGCCCAGAGAGGAGAAAAGGAGACCAGTTGGCAGTGTGTTCCTGACACACAGATGGCGGTGGTTTCTTGGAGTAGAACAGTAGTAAGGGAGGGGTGAGAAGTGTTGGGTGCAGACTGTATTTTGGAAGAACTGTCAGGATTTGCTAATAGATTGATGTAGGATATGAGGGAGCTAGAGGTGGCTTATATGTCGGTAGACAGCTGTGTTGTTTAGTCATTGAGGAAATCTCTAGGAATCAGAATGGTGGTGGGTAAGAGTGGAATCAAAAGTAGTACTAACCAGGCTACTTTTTTTCCCCTCTCATTGTTAACCCTCACCCGAGGATATTTTTTCCATTGATTTTTTAAAAGAAAATGGAAGGGAGGGAAGACACAAAGAAGCATCGATGGAGAGAGAGAGAGAGACACATCAACTGGTTGCTTCCCACATGCACCCCGACTGAGGCTGAGGACCAAGTCTGCTACCAACGTATGTACCCTTGACTGGAATAGAACCCAAGACCCTTCAGTCCACAGGCTAACTCTCTACCCACTGAGCAATACCAGATCCGGTTGACCAGAGGCTACCTTTGAGCTACCTGTTAGGTGTGAAGGAAATATGAAAATCTTCAGTGTAGCATGGTCTGTGAAGCCTCAGGACCAGATGCAGTCTAGGGAAGAGGACAAAGCCTGTATCATGCCACAATACAGAGGCAGGGGTAAGAGGAGCAGGAGTCCACAGAGGAGACCAGGAAGGAGCTACCAGACAGGTAGAAGGAAACGAGCAAGTTTGGGTTCACCAAAGCTGCAGAGACAGTGATCCAGGAGAAAAGAAACCTGTATAACGTTCAGAGGTTGAGTGGGGTTGAGGTAGAGACAGGTAACTGGCCCTTCGTTGAGATCTAAGCTGTTTGATAAATGTTATTTTAGCCCTAGCCAGTTTGGCTCAGTGGGTAGAGCATCAGCCTATAGACTGAAGGGTCCCGGGTTCGATTCTGATCAAGGACAAATGCACAGGTTGTGGGCTCGATCCCTGGTGGGGGGCATGCAGGAGGCAGCCAATCAAAGATTCTCTCTCATCACTGATGTTTCTATATCTCTCTTCCTCTCCCTTCCTCTCCAAAATAAATTTTTAAAAATTTTAAGAAGTTATTTTAATGGGACCCTGACCGATACTCTCAGTGGTTAGACTATCAGCCCATGCACCAAAAGGTCTTGGGTTCAATTCCCAGTCAGGGGCACGTATATGGGTTGCAGGTTCAATCCCCAGCCCATGTGTGGGAGGCAAGCAGTCAATAACGTGTGGCTCTCACATCAATGTTTCTCGCTCTCCCTTACCCTCTCTTTCCTCTCTCCCTTTTTCCTTCTGTCTCCCCCTTCCTCCCTTCCTTCTATTCTCTGGAAATCAATGGAAGGAATATCCTCGGGTGCAGATTAATAGCAATAACAAAAAAGTTACTATATGCCGAAACCAGTTTGGCTCAGTGGATAGAGCGTTGGTCTGCGGACTGAAAGGTCCCAGGTTCAATTCTGGTCATGGGCATGTACCTTGGTTGCAGGCACATCCCCAGCAGGGGGTGTGCAGGAGGCAACTGGTCAATGTTTCTCTCTCATCAACGTTTCTAGTTCTCTATCCCTCTTCCTTCCTCTCTGTGGAGAATCAATAAAATATATATATATATTTTAAAGTGATATATATATATATATATATATATATATATATATATATATATATATATATATATTTTTTTTATTTTTATTTTTTTTTCCAGAGAGGAAGGGAGAGGGAGAGAGCAATAGAAACATCAATAATGAGAGAGAATCATTGATTGGCTGCCTCCTGCATGTCCCCTACTGGGTGGCGATCAAGCCTGAAACCAGGACATGTGTCCTGACCAGGAATTGAACCGTGACCTCCTGGATCATAGGTTGATACTCAACCACTGAGCCGCACTGACCCGGCAAAAAAGTTATTTTAGTGAAGTTATGGTGATAAAAGCTCGGTCAGAGTGGAATGAGAGAAGAATAGGGAACAGAGAATTGGGACAGTATTTAAAGGGGAAGACGGCGCTAAGAGAAGGTAGGTAGAGAGACTATGTTTGCCAAAGGGAATGTCCAGGGAAGGAGTGGGTGATTGCATAAGAGGAGTCCTTGGGCAAGCAAGAGGATGGCACGCAGCACTCAGATGTCAGCCTGCAGTGAGAGCGGGGACTGTGTTCCACTGTGACGGGGGAAAGGCAGGGAGGTGGGCAGGGACACGGTGAGGTGGTGACTTAGTGATGAGGGAGATGGAGTAGATCTCATCTATTTATGTGATTTCTCAGTTAAGGGACAGTTGAAATAGGAAGAAATGGGTGACATGGCGGGGATGGCAGTGCTTTAGGAGAGGCAAGGAGGGGTGAAAGTCATCTTGGAAAAGGAAAACGTTAACTTATGGGAAGGTCATGTTTGTTGCTTACTCAAATTTGCAGTGAGTTCGGGGCATACTGTGTGGATTTCCACCTCTGTTGACCTTGTTTCTTGGGTATAAGTATGGAGAGCTGTAGAGGAAGGGAGGGGCAGAGGTCTTATACAATAGAAAGAGTTTGCAAAGGGCTAAATATGGTGCTAGACCACAGAACCACACAGGGTAGGGAGGAAAGTCAGGGCCGGAGCCAGTGTTGGAAAATGAGAAGGCATTAGGCATTCTAGATAGTTAGAAATCCGTGGACGCACTAGGTCCTGTTGCTTCCTCCTCCTTTTGCAGAGCAACAAGTTCAATGTTAGCCCTGCCATTCTCTAAATGTTCTTATGATTACTAAATTTTTAATCAGTGCAAAAGTGTAAAAATTGTAGTCTTGGCTGGCCGGTGTGGCTCAGTGATTGTGTATCAGCCTGTTAACCAGGAGGTCAACAGTTCGATTCCCAGTCAGGGCACATGCCTGGTCACCAGAGGGGGAATGTGCAGAAGACAGTTGATTGATGATGTTTCTATCTCTCTCTCTCCCTCTCCATTCCTCTCTGAAATCAATAAAACATATCTTTTAAAAAGTTGTTGCCTTTGTGTGAGGCCTTCTTGAGAAATGCAGCCCAGACTGACCCAGCCTGGTTTGTGCCTAGGTGCCTGAAAGAAGACCCTGCCACCATGTCCCTGCTGCAAAGGAGCCTGGATCCCGAGAAGACTCTGGGCCTGGTGGACGTGCTCTACACGGCTGTGCTGGACCTCAGCCGCTGGAGGGCAGGGAGGTTGGTGTCTCCCACGGTCACTTGAATTGGTTGGCATTCAGGTCCACACCAAGGGCCTGTATAACCACGTATAGTGTCATGTGTGCTCATGTCACTGAGAGAGTGAGTACATAAGACAGAAAGAAAACATTTTTTTTTTTAATAATTTCAAACTTACAGAAAAGTTACAAGAATAGTCCAGAGAATTGCTCTCTGCCTTTCTGCCTTTTACCCAGACTCCCCATTTTGTTAACATTTTTGTCTT